ACCTTAGAATTTTCCAGGTGATGGTGACAGAGATACTAGGTCCCTATAATGGGGGTACCTTGGGGGCCTTAAGACTAGTGAGATTAGAACTATCCTATACAATGCCCTTTTCTTAACACAGACCACAGACTAAGGATTTGGACGTGACTGTTCATGGGTTACTTTGTATGAGCATATGTTTGATGCATTTTGTTTATTTAAACCATTCATTTTTGTTTTTTTTTTTTATATAATTCCCCTAAGGTAAAGAAAAACACAAAAATAAAAATGCATTATCATTAGAGAAAACCTAGTGTGGAAATAAGATCTGCGAGAAGCATACATCATTTCTTAAAAAAAGGGGCATCATGCATTTTCCAAAATAAAAAAATCAAAAAAATAGAAGCAAGAAGGAGAGAGAATGAAAAGGAAGGACATGCATACCATATACATTCCTAGGATCACTAGGAGATTTCTCACAAAGACTAATGAACTCTAATTATTGTGACTTTTGTCACATCGTAAAAAATTACGAAAAGAGACACTATGATTTCACGTTCAAAGGAGTGGTTACCAAGTCTTTGTTGAAAGACCTCCTTCATGCATTATCATTTAAATAAGATTAATAGGAAATTATCTTATCCCTCAAAGCTAGCTTTTCAACATTCCATACTCACACGAGCTCAAAAGATAATAGCTATGGAAGACCTAGAGGAAAGGAGTCATGTCCTCAATGAGGAGCTTGGACAACTCAAGGAACAAATGGATAGAATGCTCAAGGCCATGAACAAATTGCAGCACGGTGATAATAGTTCCAGCAACGTTGGTGATGTTTCCAAGGATCATCTGAATTCCTTGGAAGAAAGACTAAGAGTTGTGGAAGACCATAGGTTTGACACTCAAGAGGCTGTAGATATGTGCTTGGTGCAGGACATCGAATTCCCCACCAAGTTCAAAATCCCTGACTTCCAAAAGTACACTGGTGCTAGTTTTCCAAAAGGACATCTGACAATGTACTGTAGGAAGATGGTATCTTATGTGGGCAATGAAAAGCTCTTGATTCACTATTTTCAGGAAAGCCTTTCAGATGCTACTCTCAACTGGTACATGCAACTGGATGGAGGAAAGATCCAAACGTGGAAACAGTTAGTCGACGCTTTTGTCCGTCGATAAAAGTACAACATCGACCTCATTCCTGATAGGTCTGATTTACAAAGCATGAGCAAGAAGGGCGACGAGTCCTTCAAAACCTATGCACAAAGATGGAGAGAAATGGTTGCGCAAGTAAAGCCTTCGTTATCTGATAAGGAGATGGTGACAATGTTCATCAACTCCTTAAGCGGACCCTATTATGACAAGATGATAGGGAACACTTCGCCTCTCTTTGCCAACATAGGCATTATCGGGGAAAGAGTAAGTGGGAAGATAGGAAAATCCCCCGAAAGCCAAGGGTATAAGAAGATTTTTGGGGCAAATGAAATCAATGTTCTAACCTCTTCCTACTCCTCGAATGACCAAAGCATCACGAAAGGCAGAAGGGGAACTAGACAAAATTCATATAAGCTACACAAAGTTATTCCCCCAATTGATGAAGGCATCCATGCTAGTAAGAACCCCACCACAAAGAAAGCAACAACTTCCTTACCCATTGTAGAGACCCAATTTTGTCCGGGGGGCATACAAACAGACGTCTATTATCAAGGAAAGGAACTCCCAAAGTAGGAAAACAACAAGACAGGACATCAAAGGGTTGAAAGCCCAAAACAACTAGTTTTAGTGGCCCAGAACGGGCTGTTCCAGAACTGGAATGAGCCGTTCCCAAATCTGGAATTGGCCTTTCCTAAATTAGAATGGGCCGTTCCGAGCCACCTAAAAGGCTTAAAGACTCTTGGTTGGAACGGGCCGTTCCAGACCAGAATGGGCCGTTCCAAACCAATCAAAAGGCCTAAAAAACTTGGTCTGGAACGGGTCATTCCTAAAACAGAATGGGTCGTTCCAAACTGTTAAAAAGGCCCAAAAACCTAGTTTGGAACGGGCCATTCTAAGCAAGGGAATATAGGGTTAATCCCAACTTCGGAATGGGCTGTTCTCAGTTCGGAATGGGTCGTTCCCATGTGTGTGATTAACACACAACGTTCAGATCTAGAACGGGCCGTTCCGATTTTGGAACGGGCCGTTCTGGCCACTGATAGCTCAGTTGTATCACTATCAAACAATTCTAGGTTCCTCAACAAATTTTTGTAATATAGAGAACTTAACCTAGGTCATTTCTCAAGGACACAAGCACATTGTATTTTCAATATATTCATGTATGTAAATCAGTTTAGAACTCCAGAGGGGGGAATTTTCAAGCGAACAATTAGAACAAAGTATCAGGAAAGCAAAGAAATCAAATCAGCACAAAATTTCAGTAGTATAGAAATTCGGTTCAAGGTTTCAATTCCTACAGTATAATTGTCACTGTTCATAATGAATACGAATTCTCAATCCATCTAATTCAATCCGAAATTAATCCAAACAGTTTTCTAAATCTAGATTTTGAATTTTATTAAAACAGAAACTACAATCGCACATTCCAAATTTCAACAAAATTCAAGAAAAGTAACCGATTGAATTAGGGATTTAGGTTATTTCTAATCAGAAAATACTTCTTCTAATTTTCAATTAGGAATCAAAATAGAGATTCAATATCATGAAAAACTGAATTTAAACTAAACAGAAAAGAGGAGAAGAAGAAGAAGAAGAAAGAATTCGTTCGGTAAAAATAAGAAACTCAAATTTGCCGTAGTTCTTGAAACCTTAAACCGATTAAGGAATTAGCCTTGCCTCATTATCATGTTGCAGAAAATTCCAATTGAGAGAAGAAATTCCGAGACAGAGAAAACTTCGTGTAAGAGAAAGTGAGAGAGAAGAAGATGCAAAGTTTCTAAAGAGAGAAGAGAGAATTTGAGAGAAACTTCTTGAGGAAGTTATCCCAAATCTGAAAATCTAAAAAATGAATTTTTTCCAAGCCCCAACTCCTGAGTCATTACATGCTTTTAAAGATAAAATAATGCGCCTAAAACCAAAGGTCCAGTCCACTAATTACAATTGAAAAGCCTAATTAACTAAACTAAACAGTTTCATGACAAGCTGAACAATTCAGTCCAGAGCCGCGACTTTAAACCACGATTTTGGATCTGAAAATGTCCAAACTGGGTTTTTCGTCCAACATGAGAATTGTAGATCTCTGTCTTATCTTTACAGGGACACCACGTTTTCCAAATTCCGAGTTGAATAGCTCCAGATATGACCTGCACAAGAAACTGTGTCAAAACAGGAAATTCTTACGAAAAATTAGTAAAATTTATAACTAATTCCTAAATGATTCACTAATACAAATCTGAACTAAAACATGAATAAAGGATACTAAAAAGAATAAAACAAGGTAAAAGCACATAAAGAAAGATATACTAAAATATGACTATCAAATACCCCCACACTTAATCTTTTGCAGTCCGGGGCAAAACTAAAAATCAATCTAATGCAACTTTTCTAAAACTTTATCAAAGAATGAGCAAAACTTCTTAAAATTTTCTAATGAATTCACAAATGTATAAGAAGAAAGCTAGTAAGGTGATAAGCTCAATTAAAGAATGATTCAAAAATAATAGAACCCTCACAAGAAAGTGTTTACACTCATCACTCAAGTGTTTAAGTTTGTGTTTACACTCAAATGCATCATGTAGAACTAGCACACCCAAGCTTTGACAAACCTCTAAATTTCACAACTTGAATCACATGCACTTAAAGATCAATAGGACTTTTATTAGCTTGTAACTTGGCCAAGGTAAAGGTTAGATGAGAAAAGAAAAGAAAAATGTCATTTAAGCTTTATAACCAAAGAGAAAAGAGGAGCAATGGGGAATAGGTTCAATAAGCATAAAGATTACCCCTAGAAGAAACTCCTATAAATTGTTATGCTATACATTTTCATATGTATTTTTTTTTTTTTGAATTTTGAATTTTGAATTTTGCCTCCCAATGGTATATTTTTATTTTATTTATTTATTTTGTTTTATTTTTTCTTCATTTCTGTTTTTTTTTTAAGTGCCAAATAACTCAATATCAACAATATAGAAGTATTCCCTAAAAGCACCCCCACACTTATAAAGAACCCATTCCCAAAACAATTTCAAAGCTCCTTTAATCCCTAAGGTTATGGGATATCATGGTTTTTCACTTTTGGCTTAAAATGAGCTAAAATCAAGGAAGGGATATAAAGACTCAAAGAGGGAAACTAGGGGACAAAAAATGTAAGGTAGGCTATTTGGCTAGTAGTTTAAGAAATAAATGCCTAAATGCCTATATCATATCAATAGAGCATGTGAACAAGAAGCTTCAAAAAGAGTTAAGGCAAAACCTAGAGTAATCTAGCAATCATGAGGAAATTCACACAAGAAAGAAATTGGAATGGAGTGATGTATTCCATCCATCAATATAGGCTCAAATCTCACAAGGTTAAATTTCTATTATCAAAGAATCAAACTTTAATTTTTCAAATCAACTTACAAAACTAAAAATGCACAAATGATTTACACTTCATGATGTTCAACCAATCAACAAAAATGATGCACCTTTCTAAATCCATACATCTATAAATCCAAAGAAAAAAATAAGAAAATTTTTTCATTCTATTTTCTATTACAAAACAACAAAACAGCAAAACAACAAAAACAGAAAACAAAGACAAAAAATAAAATAGAAACAAAAAATAGAAAACAGAAACAGAAAATAGAATACAGAATATAGAATACAGAATATAGAACACAGAATATAGAATACAAAATACAGAATACAGAATACAAAATACAGAAACAGAATACAAAATACAAAAACAGAATATAGAATACAGAAAATAGCAAATTTTTTTTTAAATGCAAACAACTCCCCCCACACTTGAAACACACATTGTCCTCAATGAAACAAATAATGCAATCAATAAAGACAATTGCAAATTATAGAAAAGGGGTAGAACTCCCTCAAGGTCCAAGAGTTGGCTCTTCTAATGAAATGTCCTCCACATCTTTGTCCTCCAACTTTGGACTTTGATGAAATTCCTTAAGTTGATGCCCATTCACTTTGAAGGTTTTGCCAGTAACTTCATTTTTAATTTCTACTGCACCATGGGAAAACACATTAGTAATAACAAAAGGACCATCCCACCTTGATCTAAGTTTACCGGCAATGAGCTTTAGGCGAGAATTGAACAATAATACTTGTTGGCCCACTTTAAACTCCTTTCTTAAAAGATGACTATCATGAAAGCGCTTGACTTTCTCTTTATAAATCTTGGAGTTTTCATAGGCTTCCAACCGAAGCTCCTCAAGTTGCTGCAACTGAAGCTTCCTTTGCATACCAGCTTGGTCAAATGCCAAGTTACAATTCTTCACTGCCCAATATGCTCTATGCTCAACCTCAACAGGTAGATGACATGCTTTACCAAACACAATCCTATAAGGAGACATCCCAATAGGTGTCCGGTAAGCTGTCCTATGTGCCCACAGAGCATCCTCCAAAAGCTTGCTCCAATCCTTCCTATTGGGGTGCACTATTTTCTGCAAAATTTACTTGATTTCGTTGTTAAAAACTTCAGCTTGCCCATTAGTTTGAGGATGATAAGTTGTAGACACTCTATGCACCACCCCATACTTATGAAGCAAAGCCTACATGCTCCTATTACAGAAATGGCTCCCCATATCACTGATGATGGGTTTAGGCACACCAAACCTGCAAAAAATATTGGATCTAACAAAATCCACAACAACTTTAGAATCATTAGTTTTGGTGGCCTTAGCCTCCACCCATTTCGAAACATAATCAACAGCTAGTAAAATATAAGTGTAACCAAAAGATGGAGGAAATGGACCCATAAAATCAATACCCCAAACATCAAAAACATCACAGAATATGATAGGATCTTGGGGCATCTCATGCCTGCATGTAATGGCCATCCCTGCTCTCTCACACTATTCACAAGTGCTGAATATCTGATGTGCATCTCTAAAAATGGTGGGCCAATAAAACCCACTATCCAACACCTTCCTAGTTGTCCTGTATGAACCATAATGTCCTCTAATAGGTGAAGCATGACAAAATTGAAGCACAGACTGGATCTCATGATCTGGAATACACCTGCAGATCACCTGGTCACTACAAAATCTTCACAAATAAGGGTCATCCCAAACCTAATATTTAGCTTCACTTTTTAGTTTAGCTATCTGTGATCTAGATAAATCTAGGGGAAGAACACCTGCAACCAAATAATTTACAATGTCAGCAAACCAAGGAGCAATATCATTTAAGTGCATCAACTGCTCATCAGGAAAATCATCTCTAATAGGCAGGGGATCAACACTCCCCTCTCAATCCTGCTCAAATGGTCTGCTAACAAATTCTCTGCACGACTTTTGTCTCTGATCTCAATATCAAATTCCTGAAGAAGAAGCATCTAGCTGATCAATCTGGGTTTAGCATCAGGCTTCTTCAATACAATAGCTAGAAGCTCCTTCTCAGTGGTGGTGTAATTGACTTGAGCTGCATCCAATGTGCGAGAGGCATAACCAATGACATGCGAAAGCCTCCCAACTCGCTGAGCTAAAACAGCTCCAAGGGCAAAGATGGATGCATCGCACATGAGCTCAAATGGAAGCTCCCAATCAGGCGGCTGTTCAATAAGTGTGGGGGGAAGCCGCTTCTTCAACTCCTTAAAGGCTAGTTGGCAAGGCTGATCAAAAATGAACTCCACCTCTTTCTGTAGAAGCTTGGACAATGGCAGTGCAATCTTTCTGAAGTCTTGGATGAACCTCCTGTAAAAACCTGCATGTCCGATTTGGACGTGACTGTTCATGGGTTACTTTGTATGAGCATATGTTTGATGCATTTTGTTTATTTAAACCATTCATTTTTGTTTTTTTTTTTTATATAATTCCCCTAAGGTAAAGAAAAACACAAAAATAAAAATGCATTATCATTAGAGAAAACCTAGTGTGGAAATAAGATCTGCGAGAAGCATACATCATTTCTTAAAAAAAGGGGCATCATGCATTTTCCAAAATAAAAAAATCAAAAAAATAGAAGCAAGAAGGAGAGAGAATGAAAAGGAAGGACATGCATACCATATACATTCCTAGGATCACTAGGAGATTTCTCACAAAGACTAATGAACTCTAATTATTGTGACTTTTGTCACATCGTAAAAAATTACGAAAAGAGACACTATGATTTCACGTTCAAAGGAGTGGTTACCAAGTCTTTGTTGAAAGACCTCCTTCATGCATTATCATTTAAATAAGATTAATAGGAAATTATCTTATCCCTCAAAGCTAGCTTTTCAACATTCCATACTCACACGAGCTCAAAAGATAATAGCTATGGAAGACCTAGAGGAAAGGAGTCATGTCCTCAATGAGGAGCTTGGACAACTCAAGGAACAAATGGATAGAATGCTCAAGGCCATGAACAAATTGCAGCACGGTGATAATAGTTCCAGCAACGTTGGTGATGTTTCCAAGGATCATCTGAATTCCTTGGAAGAAAGACTAAGAGTTGTGGAAGACCATAGGTTTGACACTCAAGAGGCTGTAGATATGTGCTTGGTGCAGGACATCGAATTCCCCACCAAGTTCAAAATCCCTGACTTCCAAAAGTACACTGGTGCTAGTTTTCCAAAAGGACATCTGACAATGTACTGTAGGAAGATGGTATCTTATGTGGGCAATGAAAAGCTCTTGATTCACTATTTTCAGGAAAGCCTTTCAGATGCTACTCTCAACTGGTACATGCAACTGGATGGAGGAAAGATCCAAACGTGGAAACAGTTAGTCGACGCTTTTGTCCGTCGATAAAAGTACAACATCGACCTCATTCCTGATAGGTCTGATTTACAAAGCATGAGCAAGAAGGGCGACGAGTCCTTCAAAACCTATGCACAAAGATGGAGAGAAATGGTTGCGCAAGTAAAGCCTTCGTTATCTGATAAGGAGATGGTGACAATGTTCATCAACTCCTTAAGCGGACCCTATTATGACAAGATGATAGGGAACACTTCGCCTCTCTTTGCCAACATAGGCATTATCGGGGAAAGAGTC